TCTACCATGCAGATTTTATCGATAAACGTTTTTTTAATCGCCGAGTAAATTTCAGATTTAACTACCGACCGTTTTTCGGTTAATAGCTATTGGATTTTGCCCATGTTTGGATGGAGACCTGACGGGGCAGGCGTCCGAATGGCTCCATCCCGACTTCCTGTAATCGAAGGACGATCTCGAGCTCTCTCGCCACGCTGTTTGCGGACGCATTACGAAAGCGATTGCGGCTCGCGCGTAAAAAGGCGCGTGTGTCGCGTACACGCAGTTACGAGAAGAAACTCGCGCGGCTTGTTACGCGTTGCACTTCCGTTTTACGGGCCGTGTAACTTTACTTGCAAACAGGGTGAGGAAAACAGGGAACGAGAAACAGTATATTCAGGGAAAAGACTTCTATCGATACGATTTCAGCTTCCTGGAACACGCTGGTCCATTAGCGATTCGACGAACACCGGTAATTCGATTTGCATTTTGCTCTCGTTTGTCCCTTTTACCTCTTTTTTCAATTCCGTTTCTCGGTCCCCCGCGATCCCATTACGTAGGTTGATTCGCGTGTTTAAATAATGGGTATGTTGACTTGTTACGGTGCGCGATGATCGATCGCCTATCATTACGCGCGCGGCAAGAATTTGGCCCGATACTGGCATTCCTGGATAAATAGTTTCTCCACAATAATTTCGGGCATATTTTATTTTTTATTAATTACTTGGTCGATCTTTTATCGATCTTTTTCGTAACATTTCTGGCCACAGATTATATTTTCGGTAATGAATTTTTTTCTCGAAATTACGTAGGATTTCAGGGGTATGTGTTTTCACCAAAAATGATTGTAATTGACCCCCGTAACTAAAAATAATTTTTCCAGAACAATTTGAAATTTTATAATTTTGTTGAAAAAAGTACCTACTCGAATTTTTTTCTCGAAAATGCGTAGGATTTCGGGGGTATGTGTATTCACAAAAAATGATTGTAATTGACCCCTGCAACCGAAAATAATTTTTCCAGAATGATTTGAAATTTTATAATTTTGTTGAAAAAAGCACCTACTCGAATTTTTTTCTCGAAAATGCGTAGGATTTCGGGGGTATGTCTATTAACCAAAAATGATTGTAATTGACCCCCGCAACCAAAAATAATTTTTTCAAAATGATTTGAAATTTTTGAATTTAATTAATAACTTTGTAACGAAGCCTCAATCAAGAAATTGATATTCTTGATTTTTGTCTTATTTTAGCCTCTAGAATCTCCCATTAAAATTTTTCCTAGGGGTGGCCGAACAGCCTGTACATTGCAACGAGCAATTCTAAAGTCTATCGAGTCAACTTTCAACCCAAAATTGCACATCAAACTTGGAATAATCTAGTTATTTATCGGAGGATGTGCTTCTAAACGTGATAAAACCTCTGTCGAGACTATCAAGTTTGCCTTGGTTTATTATACTGGAGGACTCAAACCAAAACCGAAGATTTATAGGTACGGGCGACATTTCGACGCCTCCGGTCAAACAATCGATAAACAGATCCTCGGGGATTTCTGGTATCTGATCAACGTTTAATAGCCGAGATTAGTTGGAATCGGCCGAGATTCATGCAAATCGGGGATCCGTCCTTGAACGCGATGGATCGATCGCACGAGCGCGTTACGAAAGTCCCTTCGACGAAATTAACCCTTTTATTCCCATTGCAATACGGTTTCACCCCCACGTATTATTTTATCCCACGATAATCGAGAGATGCCACTAACATTTACATTACAGAGTGAAAAATAGACATATTTAACGATTCAATCGGTGTATGTGTTATCTTACTAATATTAGAATTTTGAAACGCGTTCGAAGTGTCGGTCACCAGTGACCATCGTGTTAACGAAAGGGTAGAGCCACGGTACCGGCGCGAGAAAACGTCTACGCGCCGCTTTTCCAGCAATAATAGCAACAATCGGGCCCGTCGAGATCCCATTGTGGGCCTGCCAAGGTCTCTATCGGTTAACGAGCAAATAACAAGGGGGCACCTATCGTGCAAAACCGTACCCCATCGGTGAAATGACACGCGTTTCCCACAGTAGACACGGGGACGAGAGCTTCGGTAATGAGTCAGAGATCACCCTTAAAACGTAGATCCGAATGCGAGGGCCTCGTAAACGCGCTCGTGACTCCGATCTACGTGCTGGCGAATGTAAATCATTCGACACGGATTTTGCTAAGAACCTGGCCGACTCGTGATTCGTCGGCGGAGACAATGGAATCGAGCCTCGACCGTGCTAAGTTGGCCAACACGAAAGTGTGTTTCCTGGCGAATCGAAAACGCGTGGGAGGAGCTAGGAAGAAAGGTTTTCGACTATGGATCCTCGAAATAACGATATTGTTAGGCCACTCAGGTCTGAATACGCTTGATCGGTGATAAGAGTGCACAGTCGTAAAATATTTTATTCTATAATCGTAATGTTCATTTTTATTTTTTAAAAATAAACAAGTTAAATTATTCTCGTACTGCTAGGGTGATTCGTATGACTCGAAAGATCGAAGATGTTGGGAACTGCGGCAGCCTTGATCGACGTCGCGACGACACGCTTTCCCATAAATAGTTAGGGTCAGTCGGAGCAGGGCAACGTGTTAGGTACGCAGAATCGGGCAGCCAGCATCCCGTGTTGCGAAACGTCGATGCTCGGGGCAGGAAAGTGGCGATTTCGCCCGACGCCGGAAATTGTGAGATATTACTTACACCCGAAGACATACCGAAATGTTTTTGCCCGTCCAGTCGATTCCCACGAAACGCGGACTCCGGGCTTGGGAGCTGGTAGGAACCGGAAACGACCAGCACCCAACTACCTGCTCCAGAATCACTTTCCAAAAAATTGGACCGTTGCATCACGTTTAATGGGCACTCGCTGTTTACTTTCGCCTCAACGACACCCCTTTCCTCCATATATTCACACGTTCGCTGTTAAATACCATCAATGATAAACGAAAAGAACAATTAGCTTTATTCTCGATAGATGTCGAAGCGAAAGAAAGCGTCGACAAGAAAAATTCTTATTTAAAATAGCACCGAGAAAGCTCATTTGCTTGGAAAAACGATCTCGTTGTAGGAATAATGTATGGCCCAGTTACTAAAATCAGCCTCCGTCGGGAAGCCTCGAGCGGCGTCGACTGTCAAAATTCAAGCCGCGAAAGCCTCTCGAATCTCACAAGGATAAATCCCTATCGGAGATTAAATTCGCCCCACGTAATGGGCAACGACAACGTATCGGGATTACCGACATAACATGCGACACGTCGCTCGATTCGGTGCCCGCGATCGCAGATGAAACGAACGAGAAATGAGTTACATCGCGATGAAAGAAAGCCTCGAATATAGGTGAAACGAGCCCGGTCTCGAACACGCAAACCGAATCATGTAACGGGTCTGGCTTACGAATTTTTCTTTACGATTTTCTTCACGATCGGCAAACAACTCACGGGTGACTCAACGATTCATCGCGACTGAATAACGAATTTCTTTATCGCGTGGCGGCCGGCTGCGACCATTGTATTTAAATGGCCGACACATCGACGCGCTAAATCCCCGAGATCGTCTCTTTTCAATCGGTTCCCCGACGATGGATTATACACGGCGAGTCGTCGATCGGTTTACCGTGTCGACGACACGTTGAGTTCGCTCGCGATCCGTTACGATCGACTCCGTCCGTGATCGAAATTAATCGACTCGACCCGATCGGTCGGCTGATACCTGTTTCAGCAGTTCGTTTGTTTTCAATCACGGCGGATGAAATTTCCTCGCGAAAGGTACGATTGTTTGATACGATATTAATTAACACGTACGCAGTTTATTATTTTAACCATCGGAAAAGTTTAATTTTACTCTACATAAGTCTTTTATAAATAATCGTTCGCAATGGACTTAACTTTTGATACGAAAAGTATAGAGATTCAGTAAATACTTACATTTTGGTTTACTCAATAAAACCTATATGATATGGGCCACGTAAAAAATGGCGAATGGAGATCTCGTTTCTGGAATATTGATAACGCAAATTGGAGTTGTGGAACATTATTATCGATAACTCGGTTAATAATAATTGGACCAATGATAGAAAAAAGCTCAAATTACTCCAGGACGACAGTGGTGGTGATAATAACTGGGATCCAACCACGCAAACCACCGTCCTCGCGTGGGAGTAGCTATTCGGAATCAAAGCGTGCATTATCTGGGAGCTGAACAAGATTATTGCTGGAAGCTGTTACGGCCGAGTTGCGAGTGGCTGCGATGGAATTATCCAGCGATGCGTGTGGATGCGCGAATTAGGGCGAGGGCGAGCGACTTGGCCGCCGAAAGTGAGCCCGGAAGGACCATGGTTAAGATTTACCCTACGAGAACCCTCCGAATGGATTTTCGCTCACTGACTCGATAATTGAATACTGCCTCTAATTCTATATACATTGAGCCCCGAAAATAATTCTCGATCCTTTCCGAAGGAAAAATTTTCTCAAAATAAGAAAGTAAAAAAAAATCGTCCACCCTTTCGTCGACTTCGCGAAGGACACCGTCGCGAGAATTTCGATATGCATAATTTGTGGACGCGAATGAATAATTAATGGAGTTTTCCGGCCTGCATCTTGAAGCCAGAATTATAATTCAACGTCGAGAACAGAGGTTGTGACAGGGGCCGCACTCGACCGCCTTCGAGGCAGCGGCCGATTGCCAAAGATAGCCTAATTAGTATCCAGAGTGTGGAAGAAAAGGCTCGTTACCGCGTCTTTAATTTTCTCTCGTTCCACTTATTCCCGGCCACGGTTTTCCGCCGGATAATTTCGCGGTTTTTCATTGTGCGAGGAAAGACCACTGTCGCAATCCCGCGCGTAATCTCGTTAGCCCTAACAACGCGCTCGAATTGCGGAGCTTCCAACCCGTAGCAATTTGAATACTCAATTACCGCGTTTTCTTTTTCCTTGGCGTTGCGTGCTCGCGGAAAATGTGCAAGCCTTTTGTTCTTATCGTTCGCAGACAACTAATGGAGAGGGGATCGTCGGTGCCGTGGCAGCAGACGCTTCGAGAAGCCATCGGCGAAGACAGATTGGACGCGTCCGCGTTGAGGGAGTACTTCAGGCCTCTCGAAGATTGGCTGAGAACGGAAAACCTGAGAACCGGCGACGTGGTCGGTTGGTCTTACGGTGAGAAAACCACTTTTCCTTATTTAGTCTTTTAACACCGATCCATTATATTAAGGGCGTGCAAAATTTTCCATCGTTTGAATCTTTAAGAAACATCGAATATTAAAGCAGACATTTCTTTTACGTATTACGTGGCGGACTCGATTCAAATCGGAACTACTAGACACAGTTTAACCGTTTATCGATCAAAGGACGATCACCGTAGAGAACAACTTAAGAATTTTAGTATCGTTTCGAACGTAATGGTAACCAAGCAACAAAGCCATAACGATTCTAACGCGATCGAACGGCGGCCCGTGATTTCTCACTTTCGTTTCTTTGTATCGCGATCGGTTGACTTTCCAATTCCGCGTCCGAGTGCCATTCCAGGCGTGCGATTCTTATTCCAGACAAGCGATTTTTTTCCTCGGCAATTAAACGCAAACAAGGAACCGATTCACGTGACACCGCGCGATCAGTACGAACTCCCGGTGCGCCTTTCATCGTAACTTGTTACAAATTATGCAACTTCCTACCGTAACAGATTGAAGGTTGCAGTTCCCACGTGCCAGTTACCGTCGAGCGCTACAAATATTCATTGTGTGACGACATTCGGCTGAATTACGATCCCGTTGTACGAAGAAATTATCGGGATTGCCGCGCCGCGGCTTCCCCCGCGGACTGTCCCGGTTCTTGCCAAATTCGCGCGGAAAATTCGCAACGGCCGTTACGTAAAGCCACTGTGACGCGATGCGGATGGAAAAAGAGGGGTCAGATAGTGTGTGTCAGCCAGAAGTTGACTAGCGGGACAGCCAGGGGTCAGTGGAGTGCTACGTTTGCTCCGCCCATCCCCACTTTCGTCGTACGTCAGCCAATAGGGACGATACGCGTGATGGGACCTTGGGCCCCGTCAAACTCTAGAGTGGGGATCCAGGCGCCAATCGAAACCGCATTCCTTTCGCTAGTCAACTTCTTGTGGACGTACAGTACTTAGATACTGAAAAGAACTCGGTTCGTTGAGATCAAGGGTGTAGTCAGGGTGGGTGAAACGAGTTAATTTTTATTTGATTTGCTTTGGAAATAAATGACCGAGGAGCGTGTAATATAAAAGAAACCAGTGAATTATCTTCGATACGTTTCGATTTCTCTAAATAGCTGATATAGTACCGAATTGTTTCATAATCGTGTAAAGGTAGTAAATCGACCCCGGTCGCTGGTAAACGATCGTTCAAAAATGCACTTCGTCGCCCCGGAGTCGCGCACGGCACGAGTCGACGTTACTTCCGCGATAAAACGCAAAGGCGGGATCGGGGCCCAGGCCGCGTGAAGTTCTGGCCCCGTGGGACTGGCGAATTGCGAAATCGGAGTGGAACGGACGCGAGCATGTAAGAATAAGAGGAAGGCAGAGGGCGTCGAAGCAGAGCGAGAAGCCCAGAATCGTGAGACACGTTCGGCGATTCGACTCTCGTTTTCCATTGCACGTTGCACACCTTGAGGCCCGTCGCTCAAATTTTCCCTCTCTAATCGCGCGCGAGCGACAATCAGAAACAAAGAAAATCGGTACCCGAATAAAAATTTCTACCAATCAGTAAAGGGTATACAAATTTTATGTCGTTATTCCTTCTATGAAATTCGCAATCTGAATCGGATTTTAGCGATAGTATCTATCGACTGAAAAGGCACGATCTATTCGACCCGTCTATTAAATTCAGGAACGCTGCTGATACGTAAGATTAGCAGAAATTAGATTCCCTGTGATAACATCTATTGGCTGAAAGGGTACATTCTATTCAATCTAACAAATTCACAAATTTATTCCAAGAATGTCGATAAAAGAATATTTTCTCGAGAAGACTACTTGGCTGTCCAATGTAAAAGCAAATCTGTTGCTCCGATAAAAGTGTGCCTATCGTTGAGAATCCGGCAGCTTTGTTGCGTATCGTTTGGCGACGTTTTACAATCGACAAAAGGAAGAAATCGGTTCAGGTGACAACGGCCAATGGGCCTCTTCTGAGAAGCAATCGCGATGGAAAGCGGAGATGTACGTGACTCGCGCGTTACGCAGTGGAGAAAGAAATTACGAGTAGCCGGTTGTATAATTTCTCTTTCGATCGCGATACCTGCGTGCCCGTGTTCCTTTTTCTTTTCGGTCGAAAGGCGGCCTCGCTCGATCCATAGCGAGTGCCGACAAGTTTTGCTTTCGATACATCGATAACGGAAGTAGCTTTGCCCTCGTTAATTCGCGACCCTTCCTGCACCGTTCCGAGCGCCATTTCGGGATCTCCCACCGTAAGACTTTTTTGTGCTCCGCGAATTCCTTGCCGGCTTGTAAAATACTTCTTCCTTGTCATTTAGACTTTATCCAAAAATCTCTAACGCGCGAATGCATAAATGTTTAACTCCTAATTTCCCCCGGAGAAAGAGGAGAAATACTCGTAAGCGCCGCTCGGAAGGATCGAGAGGGAAAACGACCTCTTTCCGTTCCCCTCGATCGGTGGACCCACTTTTTTGTTTCTGTCAATCTCGATCACGGGATTTCAGAATGGTTCGTTTCCTCTCGTTCGCCCTGCAGCGTGAACGATCTCTCGATTTCTGCGGCACGTTCTCCTTGCCCGCTCGCAATTTAACTATTCGGAGCCAGGCAAACGGGGAACGATTATCGAAACAAGTTCTGCTTTATCGAATCTCCCCCTTTTCCTAGGAATGTTTCCCCCGTACCTTTCTTATTTTTTTCCTCCCATCACCGTTCTGCTATTTCAATTCACCGACTTCGATATCATCGATTTATAGACAGGGAAAAGTGAACCGTACGAACAACTTCATCGTGTTATATAAATTTTCAATGAGACTTTGCACAATACTAGAGCTTGTAAACCTGAAATCAATGGTGCCTCGGTATAGAAGATATTTAACGAAGTTATGGTAATAATTGTAAGGAGTACACGATGTAGGTTGTTTATTTTTACGAAATTGTGAATTGCTTGGATTGCAGATGGAGACTACTGCAAACGCAGCATCGAGACAGCGGGCCTGCAGGTCTACGGAAGCGGATTTTACAATGGCGGCGGATCGACGCGTTCCGCGACGATCCTGACTGGTATCACGACGATCCTCCTAACGGTAATTGCGCTTCATTAAGAGAGACGGACACGTGAATCGAGCGTCCATATCCCGGAGCGTTTTATTCGACACTTTCCCTTCTCTGGAACGTCGGGGACCGGAAACCGATCGACGTTTCTCGATCCTGCCAAAGCCACGAACCAAATAGATCACCAGATATATGTATAGACGGTCACCGTCACGGACGTCCGACGAGCCGTCGACGTCGCTTTCCGGGCAAAGATGGGCGGAATTCTTATCTAAATAGATACAAACTTCGAGCACCGTTACCTTTTTATTTGTCGCGCGAACGAAATACGAACAGCTCTCTTTGTTACACGTAAAATGAAATATCTCTACAATGTTCGAATAAAAATTTTTAATGTATGAAATGCTCCACGTTACATTATATTATCGAATGTTCAATGGCTAAAATCATGAATATCGCTTCGAGCAAAATTGGTGATTAAATTACTCGCGAAATCGAGGCGTGAAAGAGCTAATAAAGTTTAATAGATTCGTAATTTAATAGGTACTTTGAGATAATAAATAGACATTCGATGAAATTACGGTGCTCGCGTGGAGAAAAATTTCCAAAAGCCAGCTCGTTTTCCAGTCTGTCGCCCTAGATGCTAGCGCCATTAAACGGCGCGTGCGTTATCGTTGCGTGTAAGTACTCGTTATTAATTTAATCACCACCCATCGGTGCAGTGGACGTAGCAATAGAACAGCTATAATTAGGAAGCTCGCGTGCGAATCGTACGGGACGAGCTGCTCGCGCCTCGTAATTGTTGGCTCTGCAATTCGGTGGGAAGAACAGATTCACGGTTCGTAGCAAATAATGTTGCCCGTTGTTTCGAATCGACGGTAACGAGTTATGCTCGACGCGTCCATAGTGTAAATACAATTGTTTATCTGTTATGTGCATCGAAAGACGAGCAGATCTTTCGAAATTACGCGCCTGCTTAGGCTACCTTTTATCCTGATTGTCGTAAATGTAGATTAGATCCATCGTAATCGATAGAATCGTTTTTCGACATCAGCTCTTAAAAATGTTATTCCAATCGCAGTCTTTGAATTTATTTCAAACGTTTCGAAAGCACAGACGGCTTCAAAAGCGTGAAAAAATTAATTATATGCCTCTTAACGCAAGCATTATACAATTTCATAAAGGAAGATGAATCGTATAACATTGTAAAGCTATAGAAATGAAATTTAAATTTAAATGCCCGAGAGGAATATTTGTTGGAAGACAGAAATTTTTGTAGACAAACGTGCACGATTTTACACAACAATGAGCAAGCACTTGCCGGAAGATATAAAACATTCAGCTTGGTGGAACGATGAATCGCGTCACTGCTGTAAATTCAAAGAAAGTTTGGAATTACATTTTTCGAGAGAAATTTCTCATCAAACGATCCAAATTGTCATTCGATGTCGTTGCAAATTTCATTCGACGCGAGAAAGGAAATATATTCTGCGTTACTACCGATACATTTTATAGCGTAAACTCGACGTGCGTTACCTTTTAATTATATTGTCTTGTTCGTTGTTAAAGTGAATTTTTATTGTAAGAGGAAAACAGAAAAATAAACGAATGAAATAATTTTGCCCAAATATATATTTCTTGTTACCACTGACTGCTGGGACCATCGATCATTGGTACTATTACTCTTTGTTGAGAATGAAAGTTGCCCAACCCCGAGCAGAGGAAACGCAAGACTTCGATTTTTCTAAGCCGATCTCTGGCACGCGTTGCTTGCGAAATTTGACGAAGAGGATGGCCGTTCGAACTTTCGTTCGAGCCGACAACGCGTAGGACGACAGCTTTCACGACAGGCCACGACAGGGGACGTTATTGTTGTTACGGGACGGCCGCTCGAGCATAATTACACAAAGGTGGTCTGTCCAGAAACTGGTTCACCCACTTGCGTAACGCGAAGATGCGGAAACCGGAGTTCGAAAGACCGGGAGCGGTTGCATCATTGGACGTGCCGCGATATTTTTATTGGAACCGTCTCAAACGTGTCCGATCTTATCGTCTCTTCCCTTTACCGCTCGATGCGGCTCGAATATTATGATTGACCCACGGCATTTTTAATATCCAAGTGTCGACGCGTCGAAGAACAGGTTTGGCTAACGCTGGCCTGGAACAGCGTCGAGTCGAGATTCGACTAATCCGTAGTGATGGGCATAATACCGAATCGATAATCCGTAAATTATGATTTAGTGTCGAAGGGTACCGAACAGAATCGATAACCACTTGATCCTTCGCCAAAACAATGATGATAATTGAATCGAGAGTATATTATATTATATTTGAACGCAATCATTATTTGAGATTTTTACGGATGGTCAACAGTATTTGTGGCGATAGAAAAATATTTGTATTCGTAGATTAGTATGTATAAACTATTTAACGTTTTCGACCCTCGCATCAGACCCATCACTATCGATGCATACCAAAATTAAATTTAATTATTAGCTAATGCAGTCGAGCTCGAGACCTCACCGGGGTCGGCCATAGTTCAACCAAAACCTAGTCTACGTCAGCTCTGACTTCAGCGAATTTAACTACTACGTGACTAGGGTCAAACGCAGGTATAACTTTTACTTAACCCACGTCTGCTCGATACAGCTAAACTCTGACTTAACACATCATCGATTTACCTACATCTCGCTACATGGTGGTCCAATCGCCAGTATTTATTGGATTTTTCCATACTCGAGATCTGCAACCAGTACCGTGGCAAGATAGAGCCAGAAGGGACATGAATGCCATTTTATAAAGCTGCAGACGGTCTTGAAAGTAACAAAAATTAATTATATACTTTGTAATCGAATCTCAGCGAACTATTATCGCGAGATTGTAGCGATAGTCCGTGGAGACTTTCGCGGAGTCTGCGATTCTAGCAAAACTAACCACCGATCACCTACGATTTTCTTCCTTACGTAATCGTAAACGAACTTCCTAATTAACTCTCGTTAACGTATGGTACTAGATTCCGCGATTTTTTCACAGCGAGTTGTTTAATTAGCAACATCGCCGCGATTCAGCGGCCAGTGGTCGCGTGTTAATCGGCGTAAATTAATCGTGAAGATCAATTTACGTACTCGAGTAAAGTTCAGAAGAAGAGAGAGAAGTAAAATGAAGAAACGAAAAAGTACGAGAAGTCACGCCTCGGTCGTCGATCTCGATCTACAAGTCGGTTTTCGTGGCCTCGGGCTACGTGAATGGGTTAAAACAGTGACTCTTAAACTCAACAAGAAATCTAAGAAATCGTTACTTCTCTAAAAATTGTTTAAATTCTATCATAGTTAACCCGACGACTAAAGGTGGTTACTGATAACTGGGCACGTTTTGTGTGCGTATAAAAGTTAGAAAGGTCAGGTGTCATCGTGGTATCCCAATGTTCAGCATTAATTGGTACATAAACGTTCTCATGCATAATAATCAATTACATCATTATTTTAATACGTTTCGCATCGTTCGTAATTTTCATTAAAACTTGATACTAATTAAAATTAAATATAGCTCGTGGAATGTCAAAATTAATAAGTGTTCGGTGTACTCGAGCAATCTTTTGGTTCCACAATATGTTTCATATTGCTTTTCAGCAAATTTAAATTAAGCCCAGAAAATATGACTGTGATATAATATATTGTATAAAGTCGTTTGTAAAATAATTACCGTAGCTCTGTTGAAAACTAACTACCGAATATACGTTCGCCTAAGTAGATAGTAACGTAATACGGATATTTCTGATCTCTTGAAACTTCGCAGTGGAAGAAAACAAAGAGGTTGCTCACAAGTGTATTGAAAAATATGTGAAAGTAAGGAAGTGAATATGTAGAGGTTAAAACCTGCCCATAATTGTCATAAAACCGTATGGCGGATATGCGTGCCATTGGAGTCGCTGGTACGAAATCAATGGCGATCGGGACGTGCAATTGGAATGTAAGAAGTTAATGGCACGAAGCCAGTAAACGATAAGACAATATGTCTTATGGAAACATCAACAGACAATTGTAATACAACATTCTAACTTTAAAGATGGTCAAAAGAGTTTATTAAGAATGAAGTATTTGAAATGTTCTGTCGATGAACACCGCTAACGCGTCGATGAAACCAAACCTGGTAAATGTTTGGTAATTTCAACGTATTCGTGAGGTTAAAAAGGTTAAGAACCACTGGGTCAGGGGGTCATTCTTTTCCCCGATCGATGCGTGCGTCCAATGCGGGAATGCAACCTCGATCGGACCCCTTTCGCTTTCGATTTCGTGCGGTCCTCCAGGTTCTACCTGCCAAAAACTGGTCCGTCCAGTTGCGTAATAGGAAGACCGGGAAGTCCTGTCTTTCCTCGAAACGTCTGAACGATGACTCGACGATCGCCTCGTCCACTTTCACCGTCTCGAATGCACGCGTTCGCCATTGCGCTGAAATTCGATCGAGAAAAAATTCGGCGAAAATTCCGTGTCCGTCATCGAACGAGATCGTTTTCCACCGGTAGGGACGCGTTCGACTTAGCAAATAATTCACGTATCGTAAACCAAGATAATTCGATTTCAACCCTTTCGCTCCAAAAATAGTAAAAAGGTCACGGGAAGAAATGTTTTGTCGATACTTTTGTGCTAATTTCAAAGGATTATCTTCGCCTTATTTCTATTAGAGACACGTACGATAACTTGCAATTGCTTAAGTCCGCCAGAAATGTCAACTGCTTGCCGATTATCAGCAGCATCGCGACGAAACGACTTTGCAGTCGACTTTAACCAGAAATCGAAGGATCTAGCGTGACCTTCGAACGACCTTGAACTCGGATATCGTGTTCGAGCCTATTCCAACCATCCTTGAAGGCGACAATAGATAAGAGGATTCGCGATAAGCAACCGTCACGTGTCTACTCTATTAATTTCTGTAATTATAAAGAACACGTAGGAAACATGGCGGCCGCCGGCAACTCGGTACGTTTCTCGGGGCGACGAACGAACGTCTCGGTAATCGATAGGTTCTGCTCCCTTAGATTTACGTCATAGACCATCCAGCAAGAAATTTTACGAGACTGCAGTGTTTTATTACCCGTTCCGCACACATCTGCGATTTACAGAAAAACGAAATAGAAACTTATTGTAAACGACGTTCAACAAACATGTTGCAAAGCCAAGTATTTTCGGAGCTAATATATTTATTAAATTCTTTTGTTATATTTATACTTCTTCGATAAGAAAAACGAAAAAATTTGCAAACCACCCTTGCAATAATGGACGGCAGAACACGCGAGGGCTGCGGTCACTATCGGATCCGGGTGAAAGCAAAAAGAAACGGAAGCGGGAGACTAAGATCGAGTGACGAGGAAACGGGTGACGCAAGAATCGAGCATAATCAACCTGGATGCGATCAGGAATTTCCGTAAGCTGGTTCTTGGACTTCCAAGGAAATTTCGATTCGAACGCGTCGTCGAGAGAAAGGACTCGAGATCGATCGATCGCAAGATTCGTGAATTCGAAGAAAACCCTATAGGTACGGGTTGCGATTGGAAAGGTAATCCGTGAAAAGGAAAATTCCTTTTACTTTCGCCCGTAAAAGGAATTCCACGAGTGTCCTTTCGGACATGGTGCAACGGTTTTCCAGGTTGCTCGTCGGCTGTCGACAGAGATCGCGAAGAACCGTGTCGCATGAAACGAAACGAGGGGTCAACGGTACTCGAGAATAATATCTGGCCCGGCTGTAATGACGGTAATTAGGATCAGCTCGGAACAATGGGCTCCTTGCGTAACAGACAGTATAAAACTGAATCCAATGTCACTGTCTTGTGAAATTGCCTAGGTCCGTGCAACCCGTTGCCTTTTAATCGATACATTTTTATCCGATTAAAGAGCAACAGTGGGATTTAACGAGTTTCCGTAAATTACAGAATACTCTCTCACGGTTTTGCTCGATCGAAAGGTAACCGAAACGATACGCGTGTACGCTAGGGCGGGCAAGAAACTTATCGAGCCTCATGAATGAAAACGCCTGTAAAGCTTACGTAATGAAGCGAGGTACCGGCCGTTTTTCTATAAATAAAAAAAAGAAAAATGGGGAAAAGAAAGGAGCGTACATTGCACAACGACGAGGGGCGACGTAATAATACACAGCTTTCGACGTGGACTTTTAAGGACACGCTCCAACGATAATCGAACGGACAAAGCGTCGAGACGTATCCACTGTTTTTTTGCCGAAACGGCTAACAGGGATGAGCACGATTTTAATCGAATAATAGGCTATAAATAAAAAAAAATGTAATTACGGTGTACAGCAGGCAACGAAAAATAATTGGATTTACAGAATCGGAAACGGCCCAAATAAAATGATTCGAAAGCAAAGAATCCAAAGCGAGAGTATTAAATTTTTTTGTAAATAAAATATTCTTCGAAAGCAGGCCGAGTACTGGTCAACGAAATAGCTGTATTTTATTTAATACGAACAGTAAGTATGGACGTGAAATTGGAAAAAGGAAATGTGAACAACGGTTAGAAAATATTGGAAATCGATAGGGTAGAGCACAATGAATATTAAATTAGACCGCGACTAATTTATTCATGTCACGCTTCAAAGTGTACAGTTA